GAGCCATGTTGTGCTATGACTAACTTTGATAGACTTAGCTCTTCTCAGCAATGCAAGGATCTAAGACGTCTCCAAAAGACATTCCACACTGATGGAAAATGTGATCCACATGCAGAGAAAGAACTATGGAGTTTCAATGCAGATTGAAGCATACTGTTTACTCTTTTTTCTCCTGTTTTGTTTCTTCTTTCTTGTGGTTCCTCCTATTGATTCTAATTCTTCTTTACGACATGACTAATGTGAAAATGTTTAATAATAATGTATATGCAGAGCCTATATCAGATTTCATGCCATCTTGGGGAGGGAGGGGGAGAAAATTTTAAACTCAAAAGCTTATGGAAGTGATTGTTGAAAACTAAAAATAAATCAATTTTTAAAAAATAAAGTAGGTTTGTTTCATTTTGTTTTTTGTTTGTTTGCCAGTCACATCAGAGAGGTAAAGACAATCTGCAGAGCTCATTTCAGAGAAATTTTCAGAAATTGTACTTTAAAAAGGAAAAACCAAAACTCTAAATGCTTTTGTTTTCTCTGTGGTCAGTCTTCCTCGGCATGTGGGCTAACCAGTGGAGACATTTTGGACTCCTGAGCTAGCAGTCAGTCATGGAAGGTTCTGAAGAACTGAAACTGAAGATCACTCAGAGGGCAGTAGAGAAACAGAGGGTGTGTGCGCAGCTCCAACACAGCAAAGGTGAGGAGGCAGGAACAAGAATCAGCGTAAAGGATGGCTTCAAAGTCAGGGGAGAGACCCGTGGTCAGAGCCATGGAGTAGTGCTGGATGTGAGCTCCATTGGTATCCCTTTCCTGTCAGTGGAAAATGGTCCTCTCATGACCAGCTGATGGGAGGACACAGACAAGGGTCTTCTGGGAGGGACAAGTATGGATGAGAGGCTATTGACATCACTAGAGGGAAGATTCACATGAACCAGATCACCATACCGTTGAATGGATGGGGGAAGGAATGAAGGAAGGAAGGGAGGAGGGAGGGAGGGAGTCTCAAGGACACTCAAGACAAAGACCACACACAAGGAAAGTGAACAGAGTGGGGAATGAAGGTCCTGAAGACAGGGATGTGGTTTTCGAATCCAGAGAATCAGGAACAGGCCATGGAGGAGAAGTAAGGCTAGCCAGCCTAGGCCTTTCCACAAAATGGCGGCTTGCGGAAGAACTCACCAGTGAGAGAAAGGGTGGGCCTTGTAGACTGACATTCCAGGAGAAGGTAGCAAAAGGCTGTCCAAAAGCTCAGCAGCAGATGCTTCTGCCGCCGCTGTAGGGACACTGCCCTCAGCCAGCCCGGCCTCTGCCTCCCACCGCTGCTCTGGGGACCAGGGAAGGTGGCAGGAAAGGCATCTGGAAGCCTCACAACCAACCACACGGTCTCCTTGGAACTTTTTGCCACAGTAACCATTAAATGGTCTGCTTCTGTTCCCGGCCTCTGATGGTGCTGAAAGCTTGGTCCAAGGACAAGATCTGCTGGGAGGGCAGGTGGTCCCATTTGTGAACATTAATCTCCTAATACAGATACATTCACTGCAGCGTGTGCACATTTTTCCTAAAAGGGCTATGTTTTAGGAAACTTTTGTGTGGAAAGGAAGCTGCCAATGTCTGACACAGCAGGGAGGAGGCAGAGTTCGGCAATCCTGGTCTGGCTCCAACATGACGCCACTGCACTGGCAGTCACCTGACATTTCCTTCTGCCCTCTGGCCTGCACTGACATGGGGTAACTTCTCAGAAAAATAAGGGTAGGGCCTTGCCTCAACAACTATCTCACTCCACCCTTAACTGAGTGAGAACACTGTTTTCACTAGGTATGAACAAAGACGGGACACTTCAAGTGAATCAATCAACTGTAGAATGCCTGATCAGCTTGGATGCCTTCAAAAGTCACTGGATGAACTGGCCTGAGGTTTCACAAGCACATTCAGGTTGGCTGAGGAAACTGGTCTTACTCTTTAAAGTCAGTTAGGAATCAAGAAATTGTTATTTGGCCTCAGAGGGGAAAGAGAGCTGCTCCTGAGAAGGAATCAGAGTGCTCTGGCCCTGGCTTCAGACTATAAACAAGTAACATGACCCACGGTAGCACAGAAAAAATGCTCAACTGAAGGAAGGAAACCAACATTTATTAAGCACCTACTGTGTGCCAGGCACTTTGCTAAATGCCTTACAAGTAGGATCTTATCTGATCCTGACAATGACCTGGGGAAGTAGATGCTGTTATTATACCTATTCCACAGTTGGGGAAAGTGAGGCCAATAGTGGTTATGTGAGTTGCCCAAGGTCACACAGTGTCTAAGGCAGAATTTGAACTTGGGTCTTCCTGATCCCAAGTCCAGTGCTCCGTGCACCGTGGTTCCCCCTAGCAGCCAACATGTCAAGGGGAAGTGAGGTTCTAGGAGAGCCGAGCTCTCCTCCACAACTGTTCTAAAAAGATCTAGAAAACAGACCAAACCAAATCCTGAAGGGAAGTCCAAGAAACAAGTCCCATCTGTTCATTCTCCCAGCCCAGAATGGGGGAGGTGCAGAGAGCGCAATTAGGGTTTGGGGCAGGATCCAAATGAGCCTCATCTCCACCTGTTTCCAAGTAGAGTTGCAGTGTTTCTAGAGCCGAACGTCAGGAAAGGTGCGTGTATGTTTGCGTCCAACTCTCCAGGTTGTTTCTGATGAGAGGCTCACCTCGGGCCCCCCCTGCTCCCCCTGCCCTCTGCCCCCCTTACCCCCTGCCCTGCCCACTGCTCCCCCCGCCCTCTGCCCTTCCTGCTTGCTGCTCCCCCTGCCCTCTGCCCCTCCTGCCCGCTTTCCCCCCTTGCCCTCGGCCCCCCTGCCCGCTTCCCCCACTCCTTGCTCCTCTTCTGCAGCAGTTGTTTCTGGGGCTGGTGAGTAAGGTGGGCTCAATGCTGGCTGCCAGCTGGGCACCATTCCCAAGGCTCTGGGGTTCAGAGTCCCAGGCTGTCTCCACTGGGGATTGGTATCTGAGGGGAGATGGTGCTGACGCTGACTTGTGCCTGGCTCAGGCATTCTCCTTGCTCCTGGACGCTATAAAATGGGATCAACCGCTCAGAGGCCCCAGGCAGAAATTCCACTCTGACCAACAGACACATCTCTCCTAGACCTCCTGGGCCTTGGACAATCTCTCCATTCAAGCAAAATTACGAACAACTAGACAGCTTTATTACAAGGACCTGTTTAAGGAGACTTTGAACAGGCTGAGCCCCACCTCGAGGCCTGCCCCAGCCCCTGACAAAGTCAGATTCCCTCTGAAGAGAGGGGGAATCAAAGGGGAGGGATAGACGTCTGGGGAAGGCAGCCCAGGGACAGACCTAAGGGGCGGCTGTGGAATCCAAGCACAGGACACTGGCCTCAGGAGTTCCAGCCACGGCAACTCCTCCTCCAGGACAGCCAGCATTCTTATAAGACTTTACAATTATGATCTCACTGGGTCCTCACAACCACCCTGGAGGCAGGCACTATTATCACTCTCCCCCCGCCTTGGGAAACTAAGGCAGGTTGCCCAGGGTCACTCTGAGGATGGATTTGAATTCAGGTCTTCCAGACTCCCAGCCAGGTGCTCTGTGCCCTGTCGTGCCCTCTCACTGACTTTCTTCCTGAAAGGCCAAGGAATGGGAACCAGCAAGCCTGAGGGGGCTTCACCTCTGCCTGGAACCCTGAGCTTGGCTTCGGAATCGGGTTTCGGGCCCCAAGGACCTCGAGCAGGCCCCACTCACCTCTAAGCACTTTACATTTTCATTATTCAAAAGGAAATCGGAAGAGGAAAATATTTCTGCACTGCCCACACACATGCCCAACATTTACAGAACCTTAATTGTTTACAAGGGGCTTTTCTATCACAGTCCGTGATTTTACAGATGAGAAAATCGAGGCCCAGAGAAGTGGCCTGCCAAGGTTCTGTGGCTCCCAAGGGGGATAAGCCCCAGTTTTCTCAGGACCACAAGAGCCTCTGTCTTCGGGAATAATGGCCGTTACTCCTCACTTTTTAATTCCTTCCCCCACCTTCCGTAACCCCAGGAACGGTCTCCCTGACGGGGCTTTGAGGCCAGAGAAAACCCTAAAAGTGCGGGGAGTCACCAGGAGACTGAAAACCCTAACGTTTCTCTGCAGCCTAAAGCCTTTTCCAGACTTTTACCTTCAGGAAGATGGGGAGAACAAACTCGAAGGCCCAGGAATGGAACCAGGCAAGATCTCGCCTCCCTCCCCGCCCCCACCCGCGCCGGGACGGATTCGGTTACCGAAGACACTGATCAGGGCCGGGGGCTGTCCACTCTGCGATGCCCGGACATCTAACCCTCCAGGATCGTCCTCCTCGCTCAAGATCCTGCCTTAGGACAGAGTCAAGTGGCCGGCGAGGGGGAAGGCGCCAGTGCGGGTCGCTCTCTTCGAGCCAGAAATTGCCCGGATGCTGATTGTGGGTCAATCAACAAACGTCATCAAGGGCAGGATTTGAGCTGGGGCCCGCGGGCAATCCGAAGGGGGTGCGCTCCAGGCCGGAGGACGGGCTGGCACTGTCCCACTGCACAGAAGAGGGCCCGGATCACAGTAATTACTCTGGCTGCCCAGTTTTTCCGTCCTCGATCACACCCGGAAGCGCCGGCGTCACTCTCCGTGTTATTGTCCTCGCGTGCTCCCTCGGCCCCGCCCCGGGAGGCTGGCTCAGGTGACGTCACGCACCCGGCACCGCCCGGTCATGTGCCTCCCCCACCCCCACAGGCCACGGCCTTCGTGGGCCCGCCTAGCTCGCAAAGCCTGACCCCCATGGGACCCGTCTCCCTCTCTGCTTAGGCCCCTAGTCCCCGGGAGCGGGGGAAGGCATGACCTCGGGGCAGTCGGGCTAAACCCACCCCTTCCGTCCGACGTCCGACGCCCTCCACGTACGCAAACGGTCCGCCATTGCCTCTCTAGGCCAGCTCAAAGGACGGGGGAGGGGTGCGGGCACGCGAGGCCTCTCTTGATTGGGCGAGGCGCGTGGGTCCCGCCTCCCCGCCTCCCCATGCCGCGTTCCATTGGGCCCTGGCCCAGGGGCGGGGTCGGCGGGCGGGGTCGCTCGGCTGCCCGGTGCGCAGGCGCCCCGTCGGCTTGGGGGCGGGGCCGGGGCCGGGGCCGGAGAGGAGGCGGCTGGAGAAGCTGCTGGCGGCGGAGGCAGAGGAGCTCGGGAGGTGAGGGTGTCGGCTTGCTCGACTGCAGGGAGGCTGGCCCTTTGGTGCGAGGCCGATCAGGGGACCGACCGCGCCCATGACGTTCAAACGGAGCCGCGGGGACCGCTTTTATAGCACTTGGTGCTGCGGCTGCTGCCATGTCCGCACCGGAACCATCATCCTGGGGACCTGGTACATGGTGAGCCCGCGGGGGTGGGGGGGGGGAGGGGGGGGGGGGGGGGGGGGGGGGGGGGGGGGGGAGAAATTAACGCCTTTGCACTTCTGCACATGCGCTCGAGGCGGTAGCTGGGGAGGGCTAACGACTAGGAGCTTTACGCATGCGCGCTGGGGACGGAAGCGCCGCGTCGTAGCGGGAGGCGATGACCTCCTTTCGGGAGTGCGCATGTGCCGCGGTGGTCTTGGCCCGGCTTTAAACGGCGCTTACTCTTCGCACAGGCGTAAAGGGGTTCGCAGAACTGGGTTTGGGAGAGGGACGGCTGTGATGAATTGAGGACGGGCTCGTGCCGTCGTCCGGGTTTGTCTGTACCTGGGGCTTGGGATTTTAGGTAGAGAATTTCCAGGGCCCCCAGAATGCCCCAGCCGAAGTTAACCCAGGCCAGTCCCCTCGTTTTCCAGGCAGGGAAACTGAGACTCAGGGGGGAAGGGACGGGTCCAGAGTTGCCCAGGCTCGAGTGGGATGCTGCAGCCCCCTCGTCAGAGCCTGAACTGGCAGAAGCCCCCTCCCCCCAGGTGGGCGTCTCCACGTGCCCGGGGAGGATGGGGGGCGGGGGGTGGGGCGGTCAAGAGCCCACACCGTTCTTGGCTGCCCTCTCTGCCGAAGGTGCCCGTGGGTGCCGGAGCCCCGGCCCCTGCGGGGTCTCACCGCAGCTTACAGCGACCCTGGGAGAGGGTGAAGGACCTGAGGTTAGAACAGGGCCAGACAGGCTTCCTCCCCAGCCTCGCCAGCCAGTGGAGAGGTGGGAAACATTCGCTGCTCGGGGGATCAGACGTGCCCCGGTGGGCACCAAGGGGGCCGCTTGGGGAAGGACGCTGGACTCTGGGTGTTCTCCTTAGTTTGTGGCCAGACTGTCCTCCTTGGGCCCTGGTTGAAGTGAATTGATGACGTCAGTGTCGCTGGTGTTCCTTCTGCTTGGGCAGTTGGAGGTCACTGTTCCTGAGCACGTCTGGGTTGGAGTAAAGAGATTTTGCCTTGGGCTCAGCCAGCTATGCCCGGCAGGCCTGGGGGAGCCCTGGCACTGGCTTCACCCAGACGGAGGTAGGCTGCTGCAGACATTGATCCCCTTGAGTCCCTGGTGGCATGGAACCATTGGGAGGCTCTGCACAGACACCAGATGACAGCGGCCATTGGGGACTGGCAGTGTGTTCTGGTGCCCCCAGGACTCCTTGGACCCCCACCCCCTTCTGTTCTCCTCTTTACTATTAAAATGTTCCTTTGCTGGGGATTCAATGACATCCATCCTCCAGAGTCCTTGCTGCCCGTGTCCATTTCTCTCCTCCTCCTCCTCCTCTGTCCAGTTTTCTCCCCATTACGTTGCCAGGGAATGTTTTGCATGGCTGCTTGGTCCTTGTATCTTCTGGAACAGAAAGATTCATTGACAGGCTGAGGCTTGGGGGAGAAAAAAGCAACCGTATGCAGTCCTCCTAGCAGACTCTATAAGTTTATTGTTTGTCTGAAACAATAATCTTTTTGCTCATTTATAAATTTGTAATTGTTTTTAGCCAGGTTCTAGCAGATCCTATTATTAAAGACTGCTGTGGCGTGTCTCATGCTGGGGGCTTCACCTCTCCAGACAAAGGACTGTTCTCCATGTTGGATAGGGAGGGGAGACAGGCGGCTCCATACAGTACAGGGGCTCCATAGCACTGGGAGGAAGAGCCAGCTACAAATTCTGCTGCATACAGTAGCCGGGAGACCCTATGTCAGTCATGTAACCCACTCAGCTTCAGTTACCCTTGTCGGTCAAATGAAGGCATTGTCCTGGATGGCCTGTGATCCTAGGATAGGACAGCACCTGCTTGGATCTTAGTAGCAAACTTAAGTACATTGGGCGGGAGGAGCAGCGCCATGGGAGGTCGATCTCTGAGGTTCTTACCGGAAATGTGCCCAGAACTCTGGCCTTCCGAATTGAGGGAGGGGTGCTGGGGGGCTGTTCCTGAAGCCTAGGCTGAGCCCTGCCCTCTAAGCTTGCCAGGAGCACAGTCTCTGGCACTTAAAGGCCGTCCCACTCTGGCTCAGCTGCCTTCTCTCCACGTGCTCCATGGCCCACCAGACTGGCCTGCTTCTCTGGACATGACCCCCTTCCATCCTCCAGCTCTGTGCTGTGCCCTGGCTGGGCAGTTTGTCCTCACTTCTGCTTCTCAGACTCCCCAGCATCTCTGGGGCTCCTGGTCAGTTCTCCCCACCCCCCTCCAGGATCCTAGGGCCTGAAAGGTCGCATGGATCATTGATTCCAAGATGGGGAAGAGCATAGAGGTGGTCTCCAGCCTCCCCCAGGGCTCTCTCACCTACACCAAGCCACCCCTAATGCTTTATATTTACTTAGTTAAGTTACACTTTGTCTCCTTTCCAGGTGCTTCCTACCCAGAGGGCAGGACATAGGTTTTGTCCCTCTGTCCTCAGCCCCTTAGTCCTGCTCGGAATGAATGTGGAAGGAAGCAAAAGGCATGGCCCTGCAGAAGAAGCCCTGTCCCACCGGGCTGATGAAGCCTTCCCAGCGCCAGATGAGCGCTGTGGGACTCGGAGGAAGGGAGGGGAGGTGGCCCAGGCCAGGCACTTCCTTCGTCTCTGCTCCTACTTCCTAGCTCTGTTTTACTAGGTCTTTGTCTACTTGTTTTTGAAGGCAGGGACTCTGTGTCCTGGGCATCTTGGCACTCTCCCTTGCCCGGGTCAGGCACTTCTAAAAGTGTTTGTTGACATTCTGTAAAGTATTTCGCAATTATGCTGAGAAGGGGACCAAGCTAGCCATACCCTTTAACCCAAAGATCCTGCTGCTGGATGTGGACCCCAGAGAGGGGATGAAGCCTAGTGTGCCCCAAGAAGCCAGAAGCCAGCTTGCTTTCTCTTTTTCCAGGCAGGCCAAACCCTGGCCTATCTTTGAGACCTGTACCATGGAATTGGAGAGCCTCAGGGGACCTCAGAGCCCATCTATGGCACCCTTGTGTGAACAGCATCCCTCATGCCTAGCAGGTGGTCGTCCTCGGCTTGGAGTTTCCAGGGAGGGAGAGCCAGGCTGTCTGGGCCACTTTGGGCCATCTCATTGTTGGGGAGTTTTCCCTGGCATCACCCCTCCCCTCACCTCTTTTAAACCCTCTCCCGGTGCCCTGTCTTTCCCTCCTCCTTCCCAGATATTCTCCAGGCTATCCACTTCTCACTTTTCTCCACCCCTTTGGTTGAAGTGAGCTCTGGCCTTTTCCTGTGGCGTCTCTCCTACAAGCTTCCTTATCGGCCGCATCCCTCCGCTGACTCATAGTGACCACACAAGAGCGTGCCCAAGTAGAAGAATGCCATTTACCCCCAGTGAATTTCTAGGTCGGCCCAGTTCTGTGTCCTGTTGAGACCTCTTTGGACTAGTTCTTCCTCCCAGCTTCTTGTAAAATGTCAGCCAGTTTGACAAGCCTGTCATTGATAAAAATATGAGACAGCTCTCATATTGAGGCAGTCCACTGGAGACCATCTGAGGCTCAGTTTCTTCATCTGTCAACTGAGGATGACAGTCATAGATAGGATCCCCCGTCCAGGGTTGTTGTGAGGATCAAATGAGATGATACTGGAGGGGGGCATCTGGTAGACATCATGTAAACGCTTATTCCCCTTCTGTCCCTAGGTTTAGTGACTCTGCCAAGAAAGAAAGAAAGAAAGGTTAGTCTGGCACTGCCCTCTTTGGGTAAGGTTAGCTGCTGACTGGAAATTTTAAAGTTAATGTGAGGTTGGCTTCTGGTGTGCGTCATCGGGGTGGCCTGCTCTTACTGCCAAGGCACTTTTAAAAAGTGGCAGGACGTTTTCCTCTCCTGTCAGTGAAGCAGCCACTTAAAGGGTTCACCTGCAGGAAAATCAAAGAAGGCAGAGCTTGTGATGCCCCAGTGGTGAACATGGAGCCTTCTCCCTGGTCTTTGCACCCCCGGGAGCCTTCTTGACTAGTCTTTGGCTTCCTTCTGGAGGCTCCTTTGCTAATGGGAGGAGAATGGAGGGGAGGGGAAGTGCAGGACGGCCCCTCCGGCTGCCTGCCCGTGAACCCCCTGTGAACCTCCAGCCTTTGTCTCCTGCGGAGGCCAGTGCTTTCCATCCTAGCAGTTTTCTACCTCTTCCTCCAGGCACTTAGGAAGTGATCAGAGCCTGGAGAGGGCCCCCCCTCCCAGTGTTAACCCTTTGCTGTACTGCTTCCAAATTCAGCAGCCGTAGTGAGTTTCCCTCTGCTCTGGTCCTGCCTTGGAATGCCTGGCGTTCTTTCCCACGTGTGCCCGCATGTGTGACTGCATGCCCGTCTTTTATGTTCTCTTGAGTCCGTGCCAGTTTTCTGTTTTAGAGACTCAGGAGGAGGTAGTCATAGGGAAAGGGTAGCTAATGTGAATGAGAAACACGGAGTCCATTCCATTGGTTGTTCTTTCATCATTTTGGTTTGGTTAAAATTTGTATTTTACAAAGAATATTTTCCAGCAAAAAAAAGTCGATTGTAACGTTTCACATCTTATTGAGAGGCAGCGTGGGACGGCGGGTGTAGGGGCCTGGCCACAGGCAGGAAGCCGAGCCGGCCCGTCCCTCACAGCCCCTGGCTCCTGGCTCGTTCCTTTTATGTTTCTATCTGACCCGTGACTTTGGTTTATCAATTGCTCAACATTTTGTAAAAATCTATTTATTTTAGTTGTTTTATCAGTTCTTAGTGATGCAAGGACTGCTTTATAGAGCCCAGTTTAAAGTATGTGAAAACATTTTATTGACGAAACGTTCTTAGAAAGGTCTGAGTGGAAGCCATTCTCACATTTCCTCTTGGTGTTTGATATATTCTGTCTGAGAAGCTGGTGGCGTTGCTCTTGACCGTTTCTTGGAGGCCGGCATCCTTGGTCAGCTCTCTGTTCGTCCCAGCCCTGAGAGGGTACACACGTGAAGTAGGCTTACATTTTTAATTATAGTCTCAACAACAAGCCTTGAGCCGGTGGTAAAACGCACTCTTGGGAAACTGA